CAAAGTTTCAAGAAGATTTTTGCCATTGACTTCAATGGCCCCATTGGTTATAATGGACCCGAATTTTTCGGGATTCCCGAATTTTTTTGGGATTTTTTTTTCGGGATTCGGACAAGCGCATAAATTGCTAATTCGGGATCCCAAAAGCCGAAAAAAGCCAAAAAATGTTATTTTCTGCTTTTTTTCGGCTCGGGATCCCGAAATGCACATCCCTAGTAAATACTTCTTTCCTCAGTTTACCTTTGGAAACATGAACTTTGGCTATGTTTTTCTGCCTTTGTTAGTTTGCTGTCTATATGCTTGCAAGCTAACGTGTTCTGGAATGTCATAGCAAATAGATATTGATAGGATAGGGTGTAATTTTTTTCAAAAATGCTTTTTTAAGAAGTAACAATAAAGAGATTAAAAGAAAAATTGGTTTACAAGATTGTCGTGTCTAGTTCTTTTGTTAAATGCATATGCAATAGCTTAGTGTATTCCTTTAATTGTACTATTGCAGATCAATGACTCCAGCTCAGGCTGATTTGGAATTTCTTGAGAATGCCAAAAAGTTATCAATGTATGGAGTCGACCTTCACCAAGCAAAGGTAGGGAAAAAATTGTTTTTGGGGGAAGGGGCATCCATATTACTTAAACTGCAATTTTACTGTTCTGTGATGCCTTAGTTTTAATACTGGCATTTTCCCCTTTGAGCAAAATCCAGCCTTATGAGAAGTAAAACCACAGTTTCATGAGTAAATGGAAGTGTTAGTTTTGTAGGATTGCAAAAGAGGTAGAAGCCAAGGAATTTCTCAGCCAAGGAGGCCACATCTTGGTGATAGTTTTGTGTTGTTTCAGCTCAGGCCCCAATGTATAACAGTGTTATTACATTGTGAGGCATGGTGTTGATCTAGTGTCAAAATATGCAGCTTTGTCCTGTCCAGGGTCCGACAGTTCCTCTGTTGCAGGAGAAAGCCTTTGATCCCACAACTGATTCTGAACCTGGGGCCTCTGGATTTAAGGGCTTAGTTACATCCCATTAGTAAGCTCTGTTTCAAGGAGGCAGTTCTCTTGCAGGCTTTGTGAATTCTGCAGGGCCTATTTATTCCTGTACAAGAAATGTATGTTTGTGGGATCCACTACAGGGCATATTTATACTCCTCCTTTCTTTATAACATTAGTATGCAGGTCGGCTTACAAGAATAAAATTTTATAGTATATAAAAATAAAACAACACAACATGGCCCTGAGGGCCCTAATTCGGTGGAAAGGCAGAATACAAATATTTTAAATAATGAACAAAAATAGAGACATAAAATGGAAAAAAAATCAAAGAAACAGCAACATACATAACTATCAAATATAACACAACATTGTTAGAACTTCTTAATATAGACAATGGAGACTTCCAAGGTGGAGAACCAGCAGTGGATCTCATATCTCAGAAAGGTTTTTATGGGAGGAGGCACTCCTTTAGAAGCATGTTAGAGAATTCTTACAGTCCTGTATATCTTATGCTTTTAATTGGGGATGTTTTATGAGGTGATTATGCCTTGAAGATCTGTTGATGTGGAAAGGATGGGCTTATACAATTTTGAAGATGAATAAAAAGATCTGAATTAGTAAAGTGAAATAGGAGTTTGGAAGGTTTTTCGGATTTTTTTATTGAAACAGCCAATCCCCCTTCCCCCATATTTAGATGTCATGAAAAACTGGAGTTTGATTCAGGGCTTCTCACAAAAGTTATATTCATACAACCACATTTCTTATTTCAGCACACAAGGGAGAGCAGGAAAGGACTGTGTGTGGTCCTAACAACTAGGGGTGCTTGTGCCTATTGTGGACAAGCCCATGTTTGTTCTGATATCTTAAAATGGCTGTAGTGATCTCACTGAGAGTGGAAAACCAGAGAAGTAAAAGTACTGTTGCTGCTAGGTGTCCCTCTCAGGTTACTTGACCTCTTTAAAAGATCATGGTTTGTCACATAAGCCACTTCCTGAGGGGAAAAGTCAGTCCTTGATGCAAAACAAACAAACAACAAATCAAAAATTCTCTGTTAGCATTCCCAGTAAGTGATGTTGCTCATTACCTTTTAGTGAAACTTACTTCATTAGGGCAGTGATTCTCATTGGTTTCCTCAGGCTCCAGAGAGGTCTCATCTGTACATCTCACAGACACTAGCGTAAAGGGAGGAGGTATTTTTATGGCAAGAATACATAGAGAGTAAGTGATTTCTGGCTAGGCTCCATTGTATTTTGGTTTTTTCTTGCAAGTCATCCTGCAGTCCTGGTCCATTCTGGCATCCAGCACTGACTTCTTTCTCTGAAAATATTCCTTAGAACATTGTATCTAGTGGCCTTGCAAAGACATTAGCTATATCAGCTAGTTGAACTTGTGCAAAGGAACAGGTGTTCCTGAGTCAGTGTTCTCTATTGTTGGATTGGGCTTAGTTCAGACAACATACAGTATAAACTTTTAAAACATGTTCACACTACTTGAACAGGACTGTCTTAGAGACATCAAGCAGCCAGCATAAAAAGAAACTGAAGAAAATCCAGGGAGGATTCTCAGCACATGGCAAAGTGGTGTGACTGACTCGGTAGCATGGTAAAAATTACATAACAGGAGGCCAGTTATGAATTCAGAGGACTGAGAAGAGAGCAAAGAGTGTGGAGAGCAAATAATTTGGATTGTAACCTGTTGGAATATGGATCTGTGAACACCCGTAAAATGTGATCCAACCTCTGTTCACTTTTGCAGGACTTAGAAGGAGTGGATATCACTTTGGGAGTCTGTTCCAGTGGCCTTCTTGTCTATAAAGATAAGCTGAGAATCAATCGCTTCCCTTGGCCCAAAGTCCTGAAGATTTCTTACAAACGCAGCAGCTTTTTTATTAAAATTCGACCTGGGGAGGTAGGCTGTGGAGTCCAATGCTATTTCACTCCAGTTTTCTTATGAATGTTCTTTTAACTCTGTAAGACATTGACTAAGCCAGGTGTCCTCAACCTTTTTGAGCCTTTGCACACTTTTGGAATTCTGACACAGGGTGGGAGGCAAAACCACAAAGTGGTTGCCACAAGATCTAGAGCCAAACCCAAAACTGAGGTAATGCATACTCCAATAGTAACTCTTCGGAATTTCAGGCAGAAGCTCTGTTTAACAAGATGCCTTTTAAAATGAACAAACTTAACTATATATGTTCTTGCATACATACAGCTTGTCTTCACTCATACAGGGGAGATCTTTGTGCTGCCAAAGCAACTTTTAAAATATTTACACAGCCAATCCGATCTGCAGTGGCCAATCAGAAGCCCTGCTGGGCAGAAGCCCTACCGAGCTCCACCCACTTTCTAAAAACACTTGACAGGCACCAGAAAAGTTGTTGGTGGGTGCCATAGTGCCCATAAGACAGCATTTTGGGGACCCCTGGCCTAAGTAGATGAGTCTCCCAGTAAGCAGCAATACAATTCGTACCTTATACAGAGAGATCTGTTTACATTCATGCACAACTGTATAACTTATTAGCTTGATCCCTTTACGGTACTTAACACAGGATTACTGTTGAACCTAGTTGCATCTAGTATCTGGTTTGAAATGGTACTACCCAGCTAGCAGCTGGAAGGAACTTCAGGAAGATACTAAAGGAACTCAATTAGTTACCATGTTGGAACTCAGTTTGTGGTATTGGTTCTTGTCTCTAAGTCCTAAATGGGCACCGGCTCTCATACTTAACTTCCTCCTCCTTCGTGAGCCTCTGTCTGTGTTCATCCAGAGAGGCCTTGCTTTATATTCCTTTGCCATCAAAAGTAAACCTGGTGACCATAAGAAGCAGGACCTTTTCTAAAATGGAGCCAGCTTTGTGGAATCTCCATCCAAAGCAGGCTAGGCCCCATCAGGTTTTCAGGAGGGGCTGGTTATAGCTCTGGAGACTTCAGGGGGCATAAACTGAGGTATTTTGTGACTTAGACATTACTTGTGGAATTTGGTGTATTCTACTATTGATAGTCACATTAACAGATCATTGCCCAATTAATTTTTCACCAAAATAGGGAGCTGTTTTGAATTTTTATGTCAGAATACAGAAGTGGTATGAGACTTTGTTTTGACCTTAATGTATTCAGCAAATACATAATATTTTTGAACAGCCAATGGGAAATATTACCATTTTAATGTATGATGTTACCTGCTCAATAAGACTATGATACCTGTTGAGTGTTAATTAGACTTTTTTCCTGTAATCTGTGTGTGTATCATCTCAGCAAGGCAATCCACTATACCTAGGAAAACTTATTCTATACTGTTGTTCTCTGTAGCATGAGCAGTATGAAAGTACAATTGGATTCAAGCTTCCTAGTTATCGTGCAGCCAAGAAACTATGGAAAGTTTGTGTTGAGCATCACACATTTTTCAGGTATGTGTCGTCCCCCCAACCTGATTGAGTTATATGTTCATGTAAAACACAATTACTTTTTACTCCACTGAATTGCTTCATAGGTGGACTTCTAAAACCATCCATATAGGTTCCAAAATACAGCAAATAAATCAAGACCTCTGAAAATTAATGGGGGGGGGCAGATGGGGAGGCACAAGGACTTGACCATAAGTAAGGAGCAAGGTGTATTGCGGGAAAGTGCATAAGGGCATAACACATCTCTCTGCTTACAGTGTACATTGTACCATCCTGGGGGTCCTTGTTGATAGGGTCTGGGTCACTTACTGTCAATAACGTTGGGTGGGCTTTCCCTCTACATTGCTGTTAAGTGCAGCAATTTAATTCTTTCTGACATGCAAATGGTGGAATATCATTGTGCCTGGACTCCAACTAGCATGAAATAGGATCTTATTATGTAGATAGCTATAATCACAGCATAATATTGAATATTATGTTGCTTTATGTTGTTGGTTTGTTGGTTAGTATAGTTTTACTAACTATAACATGTGTGTCATCTAGGCTAACGTCCACTGAAGCAATTCCCAAGAGCAGGTTCTTGGCACTGGGCTCTAAATTCCGCTACAGCGGTCGGACTCAGGCCCAAACAAGGCAGGCTAGTGCTTTGATTGACAGACCTGCACCACAGTTTGAACGGACAGCAAGTAAACGGGCCTCTAGAAGCCTTGATGGGGGTGAGTATCTAAACTTTATATTCAGTGTTCTAGGACCCTCACACATGCAATACTTGTTTGTAAATATACAGCATACATATGCTGCTTAGTGTTTCAGTTGGTTTTAAAAAGGTAAAGGTTCCCTTGCTCGAAAGCCAGTCGAATCCGACTCTAGGGTTGCGGTGCTCATCTCCGTTTCAAAGCCGAAGAGCCAGCGCTGTCCGAAGATGTTTCCGTGGTCATGTGGCTGGCATGACTAAACACCAAGGCGCACGGAACGCTGTTACCTTCCCACTGAAGTGGTACCTATTTATCTACTTGCAAGTTCTTGCTTTCGAACTGCTAGGTTGGCAGGAGCTGGAACTAGAGACGGGAGCTCACTCTGTCATGCGGCACAATCGGGTCTCGAACTGCTGAACTACCAACCTTCCACAGCCTGCAGTTCAGCGTCTTAACCACTTGAGCCACCGCAGCTCCTCAGTTGGTTTTAGCTACTCTTAAAAGTTGTATCTTACTGAATGATTAATTCCATTGTATCTGACAAGAAGGGCTCCACCCCACAAAACTTTATACTATGATATGTATGTTTGTCTTTAAGGTGCCACAGCTCCCTTCCTTTGATATTGCTTCCACAGACTAGCATGGCTGCCCCACTGGATCAAATGATTATTGAAATTATTTTGTTTTATGAAGTCATTGTGTATGGCACTGTAAATTAACCCTGCCTCTTGCCTTCTTAGTGGCCTGGAACACACTGTAATGCTACTTCCAGTCCTGCTGTGTAATGTGGGGAATCACATGGGAGGGGCAGTTTCTAGAGGGTTGATGCTATGCTACTGATGTGGGCACCCACTTCTAAAGTCCAGGGCTTCGTATGTTACCTGGTAGCATTGAACAGAGTGGTTCTGGAGGCCCCTGCAGTAGTAATAAATCTGGGCTCTGGAATTCTGAAAAGAGCATTTTTTAAAAGCCTGTACATTATTCTTCCATTTTTTAAATTTATTTTATTACTATCTAAACTTATAACCCACTTTTGTACTATGAGGAGCTCAGGGTCATTTACTGCCAATAATTGAAACATAAGCATAGTTTCTGTATTTCTTAGATCAATATAGTGTGAAAAAACTGTCTGAGATAATCATGGTTAAATAATCATCTGTTTAAAAATGCAAGTGTAAGTTGCTTTTTAAAGAGATCCAGTAGGTTTAAACAGATGTAGTAACAATGGTTACATTGTGGGTACAATCCTGGAGGGCTACCAATTCTCAGTCTGGGGAAGAAAATCAGCCCTTTATTATTTAAGGCAAAGTTTGACTTTCTTAAATGCACAGTTGAAAGCCCAAAAACCAGCAACAAAGAGGGCAAACAATCCTTGTGTCTGCACTGAAATCTGTAGCCTTCTCTTTCTACACACTGCATTTTGTATATTCTGTAACATGTGCACAATTTCTTCAGCTAAACGTACCTCTCAAAAAATTGCGTTCATACTCGTAGAGGAAGAGAAGCAGGAGGATGTGGTGTGTGTTGGGGTTCCGGAATCAGAGCCTGTGGAACAAATTCGAGAGAAGCCAGGTATCGCTGTGCGTAGCTCTGATTCTCTCTGTCCCTTGCTCTCGCTCTCCATCTCTTTCTGCAGTGCCTTTACTGTCCCTTTCATGAGCTGAGACATCTTATCTGGTTCTGAAATACTTCACATGTTCTGGCACGTTGTCTCCCTTTTGTGATGAGATAAAAGGAGTTCTAAACCAGACTGTGCATAGATGGCCATTTCTGTACTTTGGGTCTTCAAGGCATATGAACCAGCAGTAGCAGTGCAGGTTTTAGTGGCTCAGACCAAAATTTTGAACCTTTAGACTAGCTGTCAAATGGCTGCAGTGGAGACATCTGATTAGGTTTTATCAGGATGAACTTTTGTAATAGCAGAGAGCCCTTTCTCTTTCCCCAGTGTTCTCTAATTTGAATGATTTGTAGCTGCTGTGTGGAAAAATACACTGAAATCCTAAAATTATCTTCCCTGAATTTATAGCCATGTTTCCTACTTGTTCATGATGTCTTCTGAATTTTCTTGCCAGGGGTTAAACTAGTCTCTAAAAGCATGACTTTCTTAACACTTCCTTTCAGAAATAATTGATGCTTTCAAGCTGCACAGCTTTTCTTTGTGATATGTATTTCCATATGCACTTGTTGTCATAAGGAGTCTTGAACTAACTTCAGTCTTGTTTCCTTGCTTCAACACTTTCTACGCTGCAACTTTTCTTAGCAGTTGGATTTATTTGTCTCTAAGGAAGGTCATCTTTTATTTATATTCAAATTAAGTATGTTTATTCACTGTCTATTCCGTTTTGCATGAATCCAGCTTTCCCTCAAATCCTTGCATTTGAACACTGAAAAGTGTTTTCCTGGTGTGTTGATGTTGCACACTATAATGTTAATCAGAGATACTTGACAGAGTTGAGCATCCCAGCCCTGGGTAGAATCAGTTTTCTTTTCTTCTTAGTACTTCAGTGCACAACTGATAGAATTATGATCGGTATTTAAACTTGTGAACTTGTGCTCAGAGAAAATTACAGAATACTGTCTTTAGATATATGCATCTCTTATGGTAAAATTAAGGCCAACTTTTAATGTTTGTGTAGCGCTTACTGATTTCATTTATTCTATACCTTTCTCCCGAGTGGAAACCCAAAGTAGCTTACATCTCCCCACCTCCATTTTTATCCTCACAACAACCCTGTGAGTAGGTTAGGCTGAGAATGCTGTGACTCACCCAAGGACACCCAGCAAACTTCCATGGTAGAGTAGGGATTTGAATCCGGATCTCCCAGACCCTAGGCCTAGGTGCTTAATGGAGTTAGGTTGTAATCCTGCAGGCACAGTCTTGATTATGTTTCACCTAACATTATAGAAATAGTTTTTCTTCCAGCTGTACTGATAACCTTAACCATGCAATTCTTTTAGCTAAAGATGGCCTTGAGAATATTGAAAAGAAACAAATAGTGACCAAGGAGGAGGTCAGCTTGGAAGTTCCTGTTGCAGAAACAAAATTAGTGGAACCATTAAAAATACATTCAGGTACAAGTGTGATGGCCTTCCACTGTAACATAGCTGCTGCTTTTTTACTCCATTTCTTGTACTTTAGCAGCATTATATGAGAGGATTTAGGAACATAATCCAGTGTTTCTTATTTTTCAGTGCTACCGTAAGCTCCATTAAGCTAGAGAAGGCATTACTAACCAGTTCAAAAGAGAAAAAGTAAACTTTTGATTTATTATGTCTAGGTATCTACAATATCCAATGCTAGGAGTAGCAGAAACTGTTTTTTAAAAATTGAGATAGCTGGGATCCAGATACCCACTTTGTGCCAAAATAAAAGCATCTGCATGTAGAACAGCTATTTGTCTTGCACAAACTAGGACAATGCAGAATCTCTTCAGCAGAGAAGCATTTGGTTCTTGTTTCGCATGCTTGCAAATGTTTCTTTGTAACATGTAGTTAGGCTCTGTGTGTTTTCAAATAAGAGCAGAATTTTAACATAGTGTGTACTGAGAGGAAAATAGTGAAATGTGATGGCAAGATCAGCAAGCTATAGAAGATGGACACTAATTTATTGCATGATAAACTTTTTGTGAGTCAGTGTCTACTTTGTCAGCTGCACCTTTACAAAGAGGGCTTTGGCTCACAAACGCTTATGCCAGAATACGTTTGTATGTCTTTGAAGTGCTCTTTCTTTTAATGGCAAAAAAGAACATAGCTATCCTACTGGAATTGATCACTGAAATCATTACTAAACCAGCTCTGATTTCCGGGTTAAATCATAATGAAGTCCCTTGAACTGCATGGAATACAAAAACCTTTTAAACTGCCAACTTTTTCTGTGTGGAGGTTTGGTTGAATATTACTAATTTGCTGTCTTTTCACATGGCAAAATTGGGAGAGGTTCCTCCGGTTTATGTGCTTCTTCCTGTCATTTCTTCCCTGTTTCCCCAGCCCCAGCCAGCAAATTAAAAAGTTCCTGCAGTTATTTAAAATGCAGAACCTCCTTAAGCTGGAGTGTATGCAGTCTGGATCTCCCAGTTGGAGCATTACTGTCCATACATACAGAGAGGAAGGCAAGGAGGCATGTGCATCTGAGTGCAGCTGTCTTTCACTGCCTGCATCGATGCAGTTGAGAAGTAACATTCAGAACAGGTCCAGGGTCGTAGCATTTAAGATTCTGCGCTTGAACCACTTCCCCAAGGATCAGCAAAGCTGTGGGTGGGTAGTGACTTGCAGGTAGCAGGTGTGGGTCTCCCCCCCCCCCCATTACCATCGGTTACCTTTGCTTTAACATGTTTGGTCCCTAAAAAGCAGCATGTAAATGCATGTTAACTCTTTCTTAAGACTAACATATGACTAAACATCTTATCAAACATGAAGTATGCAGTCTTTATGAGGATATAGTTATTCTTTCATCGTAACATTCACAATTTTTGGTTACACTGCATAGTGTGCGATTTATTAAATGTAGGGCGCTACTAGTATCTTTTTTTAAAAATGTAGACAAGTGATAACTCTGAATTGTTGGCATTCAGGCAAGGTAAATGCTGCCTGTAAATTTAGTGCTAGTAATTTTGCCCTCCCCCTTTTGCTCTCTGAACATTTAAAAGCATGCGTAACTTTTTTTAGCTCATGAAAAGTTTGACATAAGCACAATAAAAGAAGAGGAGAAAGAAGAAAAAACAGTTGTGGTGCACGATCTAGAACAAAAGTCACTATTACTTGAACCGATTCAGGAGGAGTCAGGTATAGCAGTAATGGCTTCTTGTGGCTAATATATACTAAGCCTGGCTGTGTGCGCATTTTCCCACTCACCATTTTTTAATTCACTAGTGCTCATTTCAGGGAGCCACCCTTCCCTATGGCATGGCACTCATGGATGAGAAAGAGTATGTCTAGAAATCACTAGAAGCTTAATGCCATTCTTGCTTTTTGGAAAAAATTGACATGATTTCTTCTTTTTGACACGGTGTGGCATTGTGAAAGTGAGAGAACATCCAGAAGCACTGGGTTTGCAAGGGCTCAGATATGGATTGGATGTATTTCTAACCTTTGCACTGTGTATGCTCTGAGGTCTTGTTTTGCCCTTGTTCCCTGCCTGTTCACATCATAGTCTAGGGCAAATGTATGATCAGTGTGGGTAAGCATGTATTGAACTTGCAGTATTGGCATTTGAGTAGACCTGGGGTGTCGGAGGTGGCAGGGACAGACACAGTGCAGACATTACAAATGGAGAGGAAATGTATGATCCTGTGGGCTCCTAACAGTCTCTTAACTGTCTTAGTGCTTCTAGATTAGAGCTAAGGGCCAAACTACATGTGCTTTTCCTGCAGTCACATGGCAGCTGCAAGAAAAGGCATTTTAAGGCTCCCTGGAGCTTGTTTGAGCTTGGGACAATGGCACAGGGAGAGGAGGAGCCATTTTCCTGAGTTGAAACTGCTCGTGGGGGAGTAATTTGCCCATCTCTGGCACTGCGCATGGAGGCATGAAATCTAGACTGTAGGAATAATTGATATCTGCAGATCATACTTTAGCTTGAGTTTGTTCAGGATGCTGTCAGTTAAGTATATTTAATTGGTCACATAACTGAATATCAGTTTTCTGAAGAAACAGTCATTTTACACAGGGCATTGCTAAGAACCTCTGCATCATCTGGTTACTAGGTACCCTTTAATAAATTGCTTTTAGTTGTGTCAGTGGCAGGAATACTGCACCTATGCCATGCTTTTTTGTTGCCTCTGAAATTATCGCTGAATGGGAGCAGCTGCTTGTGTCTTCTTCCTATGTTGGAGGAGTTTATGACATAGCTTCTTCCCTCAGTAGCTTGTCCTAGTACCTGAGGAGAACTATTTTCTGGACTTCCTTTGTAATCTGGGGTTTCTTTCTTTGCCTTTGAAACACATTGAAGAGTCCTACTGCAGCAACTTCCACTACATGAAGATAACTTCCAAGGCTGGGAGTTGGCCACCCACTTGTGCAGACATATGCCTACTAGTTTTCAGTTACTTGAAAACCCTTAAAAGTATGGTTGTAGCTAGGAAAAATACATATTTCAGAGGCTCAGACAGCAAGTCTAAACTAAGTTATAAACTTAGTGGAACCTTTCTGCATGAACGTGCATAGGATTGCACTGTTAAATTTTCTGGCTTAATTGTACTATGATGTGGTTATCAACAGCAATAATCAGTTAACGTAACTTAATCTAATATTGACAGTATTATTCAGAGTTTGTACCAATGACACTTGAAATGGAGAACCTTTTTACACAATGTACTGTTGATTAGCATTTCCTGTGTGTCCCTTTTGCAGTTTCTAATGTTGCTTTCTTAACTTTTGTTCAATATTTGTTCAAAAGAAATTAAACTCCAGCCTTCTACTCTATATCTGCCATTGCTTTGCACATCTTTTTGTTGTGGTGGTGGTGGTTGCAGTGCTGTGACTGAAATCCTTTTTTGGTGGTGGTGGGCTGGGATCTTGATTTTGTTTTTACTTTGATGTCTTTTTAAAAATAAAATTATTTCTATTCAGCAGTGGCCGTGGTTACACCTGACCGAAGCACACGCCCTACATCTGCACCAGCTATTGCTCAGAGCCATGTGATCGAACCTACTCCACCAGCTGTATCTGATAACAAGGAACCAGCAGTTACTAAAACAGAGAAGGAGACACAGAGAAAAGAATTAAAACATGAAGAAACGTTACCAGAGAAGCCCAAAACTGAGCCTGCTGAAGATTTCCAGGTATGCTAGACTACAATTATTAACTATATAACATTGGTTTGAGAAAAAGAGGTATAATTTTTATTTATTTCTTTATTTCTATTTTCAGTTTATATTCTGCCCTCCCCACATGGCTCAGGGCGGCTTACAACAAGTTAAAATACAACAGAATAAATACAATAAAACATAGATGCATAACAGAGCAATAATCTAAAATACAGACGAACAATCAAATTTGTAAAGAAAGTGCTGTTGCATGTAGATGGTGGTAGCCTCTCCAAGGCTAGGTTAGATGGTAGAGAGTACACTGTGGCCATACCAGTATCATTAGCTGTTCTTGTTGCTCTCAACATGAGGGCCTTAACTGTTCAGTAGTTAGCAGTTCAGATGTTATCCATGTGTTGGTGCCAGTGGTGGCTCCTAATCGAAGGCCTGGTGGAAGAGCTCCATTTTACAGGCCCTGCAGAACTGTAGAAGGTCCTGCAGGGCCCTGATGTCTTCCAGGAGCTCATTCCCCCAGTATGGAGCCGCCACTGAGAAGGCCCTATCCCTGGTCGAGGCCAATCTGGCATCTTTCGGACCAGGGAGAGTCAGGCGGTTTTGCGACCCTGACCTCAGTGCTCTCTGGGGAACATGTGGGGAAAGGCGGTCCCTCAGGTACGCAGGCCCTCGACCATATAGGGCTTTAAAGGTAAAAAACAGCACCTTGAAACGAATCTGGTATGCTATTGGCAGCCAGTGCAATGCCTTCAGCACAGGCTGGATGTGCTCTCATATAGAGAGGCTCAGCAGCAGCCTGGCTGCCGCGTTTTGCACCAGCTGCAGCTTCCCGATTTGGGACAAGGACAGCCCCTAGTCTCAAGGTGACCATAGCGTTGCCAGATCATTGCATTTGAGGAAGGGAACCAACTGCCACAGTATCCTTTGTGTGGGATATGATTGCAGTCATGGCTGGCCAGTGGCCACAACACTTTGCTTGCAAGGAGCAGCCTTTGAAAGTATTCTCTGTGTTTTTTGAGAGAGAGTGCCCCCACTGCCCATTTGTACTCTGGCTTCAGCACAGAGCTGACAGTGTGGGTTTACAATACTCAGTACCACTGTTGGCCCCTTCTAGCAAAGGAGAAGGCTTGGGCCCAGTTTCGTTCAAGTTTGTTTTCTGTGGCAAAATATTTCGCAGCACTATTGATTGGCTGATCATTGATCACTGATTGATCATTGATATCCCAAATTCTATTTCTCACTGGCCCTTTCCCCTTTCCTTATGTATCCTAAGCAGGTCTTTAGAGCTTGTATGGTATATCATTTAGCATGCCTTTCTCTTCTCCCATCTCTGCCTAGCCAGGTCACTCTGTGTCTTCCCCCCTTGCTTCATTTAGCTTCACCTTCTACTGGAGAGGGCTGCCCCACCTTCTTGGTTGTTCTTTGATAGCTGTGTAAGCTCCCAGATGTAAGTAAGTAAGTTTATTAAGAACAGTCATAAGACCAGCAAAATAGACCAAAATAGTACAGCACAGAATCTACAACATAGGATCCTTATGGCCTTAATTACTAAAATACCAAACCGGTCAATTCCATCATAACTGGCTCGAGTTACAATACATTCTGCGCTTTTTGATTACCAAGTAACAATATTTAGCAACATTGCGTGTGACAGAATCATAAGTATCGGCCAATAAAAACTTCATCAAACAATCCTCATCATATGTAAGATAATGAGCCAGGGGGTTAAAACGTGAGAGAAGGGGTGTCAGCAACTGCTGTCTCTCTTCATCATACAAGGGGCAATGAAGTATTATATGGGAGGTAAGCTCCCAGATGAGTTTCCCCTGCTTGGATTCCCTATAAAGTGTCAATGCTCAATCAGAGCTGCATACTAGGTTCTCCTGCAGCATTGTATGGAACCCTGGAACATGACCATCAGATTGCATATTGCTTCATAGGTGCCCCAAAGCAATTATTTGGGTTGCTTGTGCAGTCAGATATCCTAATCCCAATGTGGCATTTAAAGACAAAGCATTTGGTCACAGTCGTGAGACAGTTCAAACTTGTAGCAACTTCCACTGAAATCTATGAAAGTTCTGAGGAGGAAAAAGAGATATGTTCTGGACTTCCCATGTGATCTAGGGTTTCTTACTTTGTCTTTGAAACACAGTGAGGAATCATACTGCAACAGCTTCTTATACATAAAGTTAACATCCAGCTTTTGCTACATGAAGTTAACATCCAAAGCTCCCAGTACTGGGACCTGGCCACCCACTTGTACAGGCATATGTCTACTGGTTTCCAGTTAACTGAACATCCTTAAAATATGTTTGTAGCTGGTACATCTTCCAGAGGTTCAGATGGCAATTCAAAACTCGCTTATTAGAGATGGGAAAGATATTGCCATTGTGGTGCATGCCCAAGTAACATCTAGATTAGATTACTGTATTCTGTGTCAGGCTGCGCTTGAAGACTGTCTGGAATATACAGTTGATACAGAATGGTGCGGCCAGAATGTTGACTGGAAAGAGTCATAGGGATCATATCACTCCACTATTAGCCCTTATGCACTGGCTTCTAGTTTGCTTCTAGGCTCAATTCAGTATGTTCAGATTGGCGTTTAAAGCCCTATATAGATTGGGGCCAACATACCTGAAGAATCTTCAGGCCTTCTCACATAGGAACCTACCCAAACACTCTAGTTGGCTTTGGAGGCCCTGCTTTGGGTGCCCCTGCTGGCTGAGGCTAGTCAAGTGCCAACCCTAGAAAGGCCTTCTTGGCCATGGCGCTAAAACTTTTGGATCTCCAGGGAGAATCAACTGGCTCCTTCTGTCATTGTTTCCACCAGTGGGTGAAGACCTTTTTGCATTCTTTGTTGTACCCCAAATAATGGTTGTAGGTCCTCTTCCCTGGCTGTGTTATTTGTGTTGTATATTTATATGTTTTTATTGAATTGTCTAAATATTTTATATATGCTGTATTTTAAATGTTGCTTTAATGTCTTAAATGGTTTAATGTTTTGATGTTCACTGCCTTAGACACCCATTTTGGGTAGAAGGGTGGCGCAGAAATTTTTTAAGTAAAGTAAGTGCAGAATGAAATGTGTAGCTCTACTGAGGTTTGGCTGTACATAAGTGTGCTTTTATGCCCTCACTGTATTCACAAAAGAAGCTAACCTGATCAGATTTTAGAAGAGAGTCTTCTTCTTGCTTGAATTCTGGTTTTCTTTTTTGCTTGTAAAAACCTATAAATATGTTTGCCACACTTTTTACAATTTTCCTGTGATGTTTCTTTGTTTAAATCACATCTGGGCCAGACCTCCATAAATCAACTATCCTAGTCTGTTGACATGGGCTTATGACTTCCTTCTCCAATCTTTTGAGTCGGGAGGGGCAGAAGGGTTTCTCATGTGGTGCGGCTGAGTTTTGAAGGAGACCAGAGGCTCTACAGCCCTGCCCATCGTGGAACATTCTGCCTAGGGTTGCCTAGGGTTCCCCTGCTTTCTGGCTTCCCGATCCACTACTGGCCAGCTGGCTGGTGGGGAGAGCCCCACCCCCAAAGAGCCCTGTCATGCCCGATATCCCCGGCGTGGTGACATCACCCAGAGGTGACCATAGAGGTTTTTTTTACCCAAATGCTAGAGTGCCCCCTGCACGATGTGCCTGGCTCAGTGATGTCACTTCCGGGTGATGTCATCACAAAGCGCGTGCACCAGAAGACTCTAGGAGCTGGGATGGAGCCCCCTGCTGGGACCCAGGTAAGATCTGGCAACCCTAATTCTGCCTCCCTTCTCCCTATGAGGGGAGGGAAGAAGGCATTTCTTGTTCTGCTGCTGAAATCTAGGTGAACAAAAGTATGTGAAGCCCAGTATGTTGCAAGAACACTACCTCCCCTTTCCCAGGTGGGAAATAGGAAAGGCTTCTCGTATCATGCTGGTGAATGTTGGAGCTAACAGAAGTAGCACAGGAGACTGTTCCTGCCTATTTCAAAGCCTTGAGTCTCAGTGAGAAAGGTGGATTATAACTGAAGTAAATAAATAAGCGCAGTGCGGTATGAGAGATATTTTTTTACGCAACGTAAGGTTTTCTCACTTGTGCTGAATATCTGAAGAAGGGTGTGTAAGTGTTAAGTGATACAAAAGCTTACACAATGTTTTGTGTCATTTTGGTTGGACCTAATAAAAAGACTTGCGTGTATTTTGTTTCTTGTTCTGGATTTGGTGTGGGCCAATATGGCTGTTAACAACTCTTTCTTTAGTAGAACCAGTTACTCCATTCTATAGTTCTATTCAGTCACCTGTGCAATCCAGCTAATTCTTGTCAGTGTTGGTGCAAGCCTATCCCTGAGTCAACTTATAGTGCTTTAACAGCATTTACAGACTGTCAGTATATTGGCTTGCCATGAATTCAGCTGACAGGAGTTAAAACATCAGCTTCAGTGGTCAGATTCCTATTCTTCGTGGGAGGCAAGGGAATCAAGACCCCAATTGTGCAGAGCTTTCAAGTAAAAGGTTACTTTAAGGAAGCCTTATGTTTGTTTCTTTAGATATATAACCATGACATAGAATAATGAACATGATAAACTGCATGAGTAATTTGTTTTTGTAAGTTCACTTTGTGCATCTGCAGTGCTGATTGCCTCATCTCAAAGATAGAATTGGGAGAAAATGCAGCAAAAGGCATCTAAAGTTATCAGAGCCTCATAGCATTTAATCTTTGTTAAAGACATTCCAGAGGTTGAACAGTGTTGCTGAAATGCTATCTAGAGAGGGAGACAAGTATGAAAGATGTTTTTAGGAAGCGATGAGCCATGTGAAGAGAGCAAGAGAGTGTATTCTTTCTTGCATAAAATTTGAATTTTCGGGGGACATCCAGTGAAAATGATTACCAGTAGGTTTAGGGGGAAAAAAATACGGAGGAAATACTGTTTCATGTTTGTCTTACAAGTTTTCTAGAGCATGTTGTTTACTGGGCTAGATGCTCGCAGGGAGGGTGGGGTATAAATTGAATTCATAAATAAATAAATACATAAATATAAGACAGTTGTTATGATGGTACAACTCAACAGTTGATCTGTTCTCGTGGTCCATTTTTTCTCTGTACAATGCTCCCCAAGTGGAGGATCTCATATGAACTAAGGATCTCCATGGATATATGTTTTCCAGTTTAGAATTCTCCCATCAGTGTAGGCATTGTCAGCAGAGTCAAAACTGAAAGTGTTAACCAGCCTTTTAGTTGTTTATATACCTGCAAATGATTAAAAATGCTACACAGCAATCAGTGGTTAGATTGTGGAGTGAGACAAATATTGACTTGAAAAGATGTAATCTGAAGAACTCTGCAACTAGTTTATTGTGATTGTTGTTTATTTAGAAAATTATGCTGTTGATGTGTGGTTTTTTCCTAGTTTTGTTAGGATTATTGTGTGTTATGGTTATTGTACGTACTTATGAGTTTTGATTGCTTTTGAAATTATTGGAGAGCTCCATTGTAAAGTGGTATGCAAAATAAATAGTTCTGCTTTTCAGAGGACATGTTTTCTTGAATAGCTGTTCCCTCCCTGTGCCGCACAGCAAGCTGCTTTTCAATGTAAGGCTAATTTAATTAGTAGCTTGTGATACTACATGGGAATCTGCTGTATAAAGGAAAAAAAGTAAAACATTCTCTTGGATATGTGCCATTGGACATACCTGTTTGGAGTCTGACCTAAAGTATTAAAATGTCTTTTTAAAGATAAGAAAAATTTTTGGGTCAGAAGCTGTATAGAAGAGCTGACCAGAATTTGTAGAAACTAGTTCTTTAATATTTTCTTACTCTAAAGCAAGACTTACAGCAAACTCGTATAAAATCTATCAAAACCTGCTTTTTGAAAGTGCTGTACTTTTTAGAAATGGCTTTCAGTATGAGTTGAGGACAGTATGAAATTCTCATTAATACAAGGAACCTGCAGCCCCCAAATTGTCTGGGTTGTTCAAATCAACATGTGGAATTAATTCATCCCCCTCCCCATTTTTTTTGTGTGGGGAGGGTTGTTTGTTTTACTCTTGTTGCCCTTTTAGGCTTGCTATGTCACAGTGCTTCATACCTGGTAGAAGTCAGTGTCTACACCTGGCAGTCTTAGCTCCCTGGTAGTCTCCCACCCTCTAAACCCTGCCTGCCTGCCTGCCTTTCTCTATGCCCTGTGTTTAGTTTTGCCATATGTCTGTGTTCTCCTTTGCTCTTCTTTTCTGCAAGCTGGATCCAGAGATGTTCTTTCTCTCATGGAAAAATGTTTCACACATGGAAGGGTCGTCTTACATCTTGTGCCAGAGTGTTGTATGAGATTAATTGAACTGAATCAAATGATGTTTGAACAAGTTCTTGCCCAGTCATGAAAACTACTGTAGAAGTCAGCTTTGCACTGTGCAGCCTTGTTTGCTAGTGCTTTTATGAACATTTTACAGAACAGTACCAGAGAATATTTTTCTTCTGCTCCAAGTTCTTCAAATCCAGAAGCATGTTTTCATTAGTCATTGCTTCCTCACATTTCTGCTTTTCAGTCCACTGCCTGCTTTGTACCATTTCTTATAGCCATTGTTTTCTGTGCACCTTCTCTGGTGTTGATCACCACCCCCTCCCTCCTACACACACTAGTGTTCCTGAAGCACATATAACCTTTTTTATTAGCTGACTATTCCTCAGTTCCTTATCTTTACTTTCTCTTTCTTTAAGCCTTCTCAGTGCTTTTTTCAGATTCTTTCTCTTTGAATGTATTACCTCCTTTGCACCCTTCCTTCAGCCTCCTTGCCTCTGAGTCCCTTGTTCCTACCAGGAGCAATGTTCCCTCTAAGTTGTTTGTGTGAGCTAGCTCACAGTTTTTTAGTCTATAGCTCACACATTTTTGTCTTAGCTCAGGAAGGATGACACCAGAGCAAGCTAATTTATGCAGCAGCCAAATTGCTTGCTCACAACTTAAATGCCAGTGGCTCACAGAGTAGAATTTTTGCTCACAAGACTCCACAGTTTAGAGGGAGCATTGACCAGGAGCTCTTCCCAGTGTTCCCTTGATCCGCATTTAAATGGCAGCTGAATTGACTACTTTCTTTTCTCACACAGAAACTGGACTGCAAACTGATTTGTTTCTTGAGGAGCTAAACATTCCAAATCATCCCATCAGCTCCACCTGTCTAGTACTAGAGCTTTCAATGCCACAAGGGCAGTACAAGTATAGATTTCTGATAAAACTCTTGTGTTGTTTTCTGTATTTGATGTTATGATTACCCGGAAATTTATGAAGACATTTTTAATGTATAGGTTTTTAAAATGTATTAACACTTAAGTCTGCTTAGTAAGAGGCATTGTTATTACAAGAACCTTGTACAGGAAACATTTGGAATATTTTAGAATATTGGATTCAGAATTATTTTTCTTATGTTGAACTAATAAATCATCACTGTAAGGTATTGTGTCACTTATTTCTGTACCTCTTCCGAGACTGCATGTTAATGGGTGCATGTTTACCCAGTGTTTCAAAAACAAATAGCCATGTTTTTGAAACTAAGTTTTTCTCCAAGACCCTACTAACATGCAAAAAATGTTTTTACCACTTTATTTCTTAACATAGGTGGGGAAAGTGCATATTGAAGTGTCAGTACCCACCAGAAATGGTGACCAAACTCAGGTTTGTCCGGTTAGGTTGCTTGTATATATATTTTTCTTTTTAAAAAGAAGACTGAAATACAATTTAGTTTAAAATAATTCAATGAACCCACTTTTTTGTCTTTTTAAAAAATTGCCACAAAACAGCAGCGTGCCGAAAAAGAGGAAGACCCGATAAGAATGAGGAAGGTTAGCAGGTTTTTTTTAAGTGCCATCAAGTAAAACTGCCATGTCACTCATGCATATGTGACGTATTTAAAAAGACAGAGTTCCAGTTCCTTCACGAACTTCTGCTTTAATGAGTAGATACTGCTCGTTTTCCAAATTAAATTTATTAATTAAAAAATTCTATCAAAAGTATTGATTATACTTTGCATTTCTTAGTGGGTTGTTTTTTTAAGATTCCAGATAACACTTCAAGAAATGCACAGTGCTTGACTGCAAAATTTATTTGGCAAGAAATATATCACTGTAATGTTGAGAAACCACACAGCTGTGCCCAAAATTGTCTTTCTTGTTGAGGGACAGCTGAGAATGTAGGTAAGACAGTGAAGCTCTTGGGAGGCTGTCTTTTTAAAGGGAACCATTCCATTATGTCATGATTCATGAGCAAGACCTTCCATTTCCTCAGATCCTTCACATGTTCTTGTGGCTCCATCCTTCATGCCCCATTGGCATTCCACTGCTCTCCAATTTGTTTAGTTAACCTTTTTTCGCTTTCCAATTTGCAATTCCTGCAAGAAAAACTTTTAATTTTTTTTGTGCTTTTTTTGTTCTTCCCCTCCCCTTCTTTCACTTTCACAGAAAAGATCAAAGAGACTAGATGGTGAAAACATTTATATAAGACATAGCAATTTAATGTTGGAGGTTTGTATGCATTTGAAGCTTCTTTCAGTAGCGTTTGCCTGGACCTGCTGCATTCTTTGCTGAACTCTTTTTCCTCCTCTACTGCTGCATTTGTGGTTTTTTCTGTTTACTTTTTTGCATGCTGTTGCATGAAAGTGTTAAATATGCTTTTGCACGCCAACAAAAAACGTGACACTATACAGCCATTTTTTCCTATCTGTTTTAGACTTTTTTCTCTGTTGTATTTACTTGAAAATATGTGATTGGGATAGTTCTCCACTTCTGTTTATGGTAAGCACTCAAGAATTTGATTACAAGTAGCAATCTCCAAGCCAGGGCCCATAGACTAGACTTTTACTAAAAGTAATAGGCAAGAATTTGTTCAGTGTTATATTTTGTGATTACTTCTTATTACCCTATGGCCCCTGTGCCGTTCTGAGAATGGATGTTTAGTCTTGGGCATCATTCAGTGCTCCAAACCTGCTCTGTGCATTTTTTCTTTTTTCCCCAGTGTCTTTTCACTTAAACTGGGTGAACTGTTTCTTAGAATAAAAGTTTTACTTCCCCAGCAAGTTAAATTCAGTTTTTTTGGGGGGGCATAATCTAGTGAATAAGAGAATGTAGATCTATTTAGGATTGCACTTTTAATATCTCTGCTTTGGCGAGTGCATGCTGGGGTGGTCATTGTTGTAATCCACCTGGCACTGCAGTTGTACCCTGTGTGTTCGTACAGGGTTTCTAAAAAGGAGCAGGGCTTTGCTTAAATGACTGGGTGATATGGGGGGATGGGGACACATCAAGCCTAGCAAGCATGTTCAAGGCCATAACTTGAGGAAGATTACCCCTGGCCCAGCCCCACATATATGCAGCATGTCATGATATCTTCTCAGCTATGTCCGTGACATTGGAGAAGCCCAGAGTAAATTTAAATCTTTCAGTGAAATGAGCAGGGATCTAAATGATCACTAGTTGAGCTGCTTCTTGGCAAAACTCAATGTAGCTGTGTGCTATGTTCGTCATTTTTATTGAAAACATTACTTTTAGAATAATTTGGGTTTTAAAAGAATGGAATACAAGAAGTAGAATGTGATCACAATAGAATTTTCTCTGAATTATCCTTTTAAAAGAAATGTGCATAGCTGCTTCCTTGAGCAGACGTAGAGATAAGTTAACCCATATCTCCTCTCCCTACCCACTCCCTTGTCTTGCAGAATGCCATTCACTGCACTTCTTGGAATTATCAGAACATTAATTTGTTTCTGTCATCATGACTGCATGAATGTATCTTGGCTACATTGCCTTAAGATAGACGGTTCTTGATTTTAATTGGATCTCACACCTACTTGAAGTGCTGAACATGCCAATCATATATTTATTTTGGGAAAACATGTGGCTTCTTCTACTGACACTGTTCCTATGTGTTACGTGTTTTATCCACAATTACAGGAACAGCAGCTAATAGGAGTTTCTTGCAGTGTATCTCTTTTTGTGCACTAACTACATTTTGGACATTTTTAATATAGTGCTTTGCAGCTTTTGGTTTGGTTGCTACAATGCAGAGCTTTTGGACATCAGTAAAATGGTCTGTAATCCAGCCGAGAGGAGATCATCAAGCAAGAAGCAGTGAAGATTCTACCCAATTTTAAAAAAACCCATTCTTAAAACAGATTCTTTAATCTATTATCTCCTCCCAGTAGAGGTTTTTAAGTTGATGCATTTGTCTGTTTTCAGTATTGTTACCTTCCTGTTCTCATGTAAAGCTCTGTCACATATCACGTGTGGTCCAGTGCCTATAACTAACTCTTTTTTATATGCCCTTTAAATATTTTGTTACAGGTGTTCAGAGGTCATCAATAAAAGCTTGGCTAATCAGAGTTTGGGATGATTGCTTGACTCTCTTTTTTGCTCAATTTGTTGGGTAAATACAATGGGTTCCATTTGATTATGTTTAGGAGGAAAAAAGTGACCCACTGAAGCAGCTCTGCTAATTAAATTAAGTGAGATGAGCACAGCAATCTAAAATTCATCTTGTGATATATCTTGCTGCTCTTCTTAAATGGTGGATGATGATATAAAAGCACACCAAAAACATGGTGCTGTACAATAGTTCATTTTTAAACCCTTTTTATATAGTATAGATAATTATAGACCTATTAGCTTGCTTTCCATTTTAGGGAAGCTTTATGCCAAACATCTTCTCAAAAAATTATCTCAATGGATGGTCGATCATAACCTTCCAGTAAGAGAGCAAAGGTTTCATGGCTAACCACTCCACCTTAGACCACTGTACTACCTTAGCCTTTTTAGCTGAGAAGTATTCCCGCCACTTAGGTAGTAAGATATACTCAGCTTTTATTGATCTACGTAAAGCCTTTCATTCAGTTAATAGATCTTTGTTGTGGGACAAACTCTATAATTTGGGATTGGATCAACGTCTTCTGTTTTTGATTCGTAAATTGCATTCGGCTAACTATTGCCAGGTCCCTTACTCAGAGAATTTCTGTAACTAAGGGGGTCAAGCAAGGATGTGTACTTGCCCCTCCCCTTTTCAACCTTTTCATTTCTGATCTTCCACTGTGTCTAGCTAAAACTGATGGCCATTCCCCCAAACTAAACTCTTCTGCAGTTCCTATTTTACTCTATGCAGATGATGCGGTCATTCTCTCTTTTACTAGGATTGGACTTCTGCGCCTTTTACTAGAGTTTAACTCTTATTGCAGTCGGAACTCTCTGTCTATTAATTCTGATAAAACAAAAATATTGGTTTTCTCCAAAGCCTGGAAGAGTGAACAGTGGAGAATAGAGAGAAAAGAAATAGAACAGGTCAAATAATTCAGATACTTAGGAGTTTTGTTTCATTACAACCTAAGTTGGTGCCCTCATAGAGATCATTCCCTTAGTTTAGCTAGGAATAAGACTACAGCTTTAATCCGTTTTTTTAATTTAACAGGTAATCAATTTGTTCCAGCAGCTCTCCAGATTTTTCAGGCGTCTGTTATTTCCCGTCTGCTGTATGGGATACCTATATGGATTCAAAATTTTAATAAAAGAATAGAACTAATAAGTTCTAGTTCTCCCTGCAGGGTCAGTTGCTTTGCGGGCTCTTTTGGGCACTCTGGTTTAAAGGCGCCGCCTCTTAGCTTTTTCTTGCAGCTTTGCCTCTGCTTTTTCCCCCCCTCTGTATTTTCCAGTTCAGTTTCTGAAAAATCTCAGACCCGAATATCTTGCTCGAAATTTTTTCAGGTCCAATAGACCCGAACCAAAAAATACCAAGAAAAAAATTGCACACCCCTACAAATCTGGCCTTTTAAAATTAAACACTTTTATGCTAGCAAGACTTAATCTCTTTCCTTCGGCTGTTGTTTCAGGCAGATATAGGGGTATCCCCTATTGGGATAGAACCTGCAATTGTCTCTATAGTGAACCTCATTCAGTCGCTCATATCCTTCTCCGCTGTCCCCAATACTCTACCATGCACAGCTATTTGATCAGTCCCCCCTTACCTTCCACAAGGAATTCGACTGACAATTATCTTAAAATTCTATTGTCTGATAAGTTCTCGGCAATTACCCTGTCTGTTGCTGAATTCTTAGCTTATGTTTGGAAGCTAAGGGTAAGGGCGCATAAGTCTTAATCCCCCTTGTGCTCATTTGGATTGTTATATTTTTTAACTGAGTTCACTATTCTTGAGAAGTTTAAAAATGATCCCCTGTTGGTGTAACTTAATGTAACTTGTTATGATCTATTAATTCGTTCTATTAATTTATTTGTTCCATTGCCTTCCTTATTGTTCCTGTGTTATGCCAGTAAAGGTCTATGTATATGTATATGCTTACATACAGTCCCTTAAAGAAAGCCCTTTAGAAAATGAGAAGGCACGCACAACAAAGAGGGAAGGAGAGCTCTCCCCCATTGATTTATATCCTACTTTTCTCCTGACTAAGAACCCAAAGCGGCTTACATCATTCTCCTCTTCATTTTACCCTCACAACATCCTTGTGAGGTAGGTTAGGCTGAGAGTGTGTGAATGGCCCAAAATATAAACTAACCTTCAGTGTAATAGCACGCCAGCTTCGGTTGAGCCCAGCGCTTTCTAGGTGTGATCAACGCACAGCCACTGAAGAGACTTAAATCGTCTTTATTGAACTTCACATGCATTCAGAAGATCATTTACATTTTGTGATTTAGGTCAATTCTATAGCCATGTGAGAAGAGATGAGTTTTCCCCTCTCCTTGCGGTAAGGATGGACAAAGAAAACGGAGAACAATAAAATTCCTATCTTCGTGTCTCTGAGCTCAGGAAATTACCCCTAATGAGCCAGTCAGAGGGATGCTTTAGGAACACCTAACTGAGGACTACAATTCCCAGAGACAACTGCTCTTAAAGATACACAGCAGTTTTACTAAATTACTATTATCTTCAGTTAACGCTGACTGGGGGCAGCACAGTTGCTGAAGGTGTTTTTTGGTCAACTGTAAGCTATTGCTGCTTCTTTTTTCAAGGATTCTTTTTTACATTATCTTGCTTACAAAACCATAGCAATTTGATATTTGTGGCCATTTGAAATGAGTGTCTAGAATTTTTGAGGGAATACCAAACTGCCTCAGCTAAGACTGGTCAGCTCAGAGGTTAAGATGCTGAGCTGCAGTCTGGAAGGTCTGTAGTTTGGCAGTTCAAGACCTGAGTGCCGCATGACGGAGTAAGCTCTCGTCTCTGGTCCCAGCTCCTGCCAACCTAGCAGTTCAAAAGCAAGAAGTTGCAATTAGATAAATAGGTACCACTTCGGTGGGAAGATAACAGCATCCCATGCACCTCAGCATTTAGTCATGCCGGCCACATGACCATGGAGAAGTCTTCAGATAGCGCTGGCTCCTCGACTTGGAAACGGAGATGAGCACTGCCCCCTAGAGTCGGATTCAACTAACTTTTGAGCAAGGGAAACCTTTTTTTGTTGTTCAGTCGCACAGTTGAGTCCGACTCTTTGCGACCCCATGGACCAGATCCTGCCAGACCCTCCTGT